ATTATAAATTAAAACTATATATTATGAGAGAAATTATTTGAATGAGATTCAAATAAAATTAATATGAATAAGATTCATATTAAAACTATAGGTTATAAATAATGTGCATAAGATGTACATTAAAACTATAAGTTATACGAGAGAAATGTTTTAGAATATGATTCTATTCATGTGATAAATAATTAAGGGTTAATTATTTATTTGATATATATATATATATTATTAATTAGATTAATAATTAATTAACTTTTATTAATTAATATGATTAATTAATTATAGATTAATTATTATATATATATATTAATTATTAATTATTAATATTAATATTAATATTAATATTTAACTCCCCTGCATTATTGCAGGGGAGTGTAACTCCCCACGTCACTGGTTTTCTAGAGAAGTTCTGCAATGGTTACAGAACAGGATGAGCATAGAACTCCCATTATTCTCTCTCAATCGATCTCTCTCAAACTCTCCCTCTCGTTCCAAGGAAACGCTCCCACAAACGTGATCTCGAAACCCAAGAGAATAGTAAGGAAGATTCAGTGGTGGTGTTTGTTAGGAAAAAGTTGAAGAAACGTTCTTCAAAGATAATTTTTCCCTGTGTTTTTCCTTCTTTGCAAATTGATTTTATTTCTCAAATATCACGAACAGCGGTCTGCTTAATGGGTTAACTTTTACCGACTATTTTTACATAATGTCGGGGGAAGTTTACATATAGATTTCGAAATTGGAATACTTTTCCCATGTTTTGTTAAAATCGTAGCGAACTTTCATTTTTTCGCGAAGTTTTGTGTAAAACGGTAGGGAGATCACTAGTATTCCTTCTTTTTTTTTTAATGGAAAGAATAAAAAAAATCTAGAGTTAGTTATGCCGACGGTTTTTGAAAATGTCAGAGATGCAGACTTATCCCGACTTTTACGAATGGACGTTGGGAGATCTCTAAAATTTCCGACTTTTGGAAAAACGTCGCGAGGTGTTTAACAAAATAGCCCTAAATTCGATTCAGCCTCATTCGTGCCTACCCCCTCAAATCGATTTTCCCCTCCCAACTATCGTACATCGCTTAAGCACCGCCACTGGTAGCTACCGTTCCTTGTTGTTCATCTGCCCGCCGCTTAACACTACCGCAGCCGTCCGTTGCTCACCGTCTGCTATCCGTAGTTGCCGATCATGTTCTATTTAATTTGCTACTAGAAAATTGCTTATTCTACCGCGAGAAAATCCTCTCTACATTTTTTTTCGTTTTCGAACCACRGTTTCTTCTTCTTCTTCATCAGAGCATCTTCCCTCTCGATTTCGATCGCCGGATCGTCACCGGAAAAAAAACGGCACTCAAAATGGTGACTCGTCTGAACTTTTGTTACTCTGCTATTTCTTTTGTTTCTCGAGAAAGTAGTATGATTCTATTCTAGTTCACCTCTTTGAAAATAAATGTTGTCTTGATATGACTTTCGTGAAATTTTTTGTCATAGCTTCTTGAAATTAAATGCATGTGGAATCTCTGATTCTCTATTTTAAAATTTGAAGACTCGTAATCCGCATGTAGTTTTCGGGATTGGGAAGTGAATGCGCAGTGTTCGCTTGGAGATTCGACTTGATTTTGTATAGTTGTTATATCTTCTTCTTCAGGCTACTGTGATTTTTTCAACTAAACAATTCAGTGGCAACTTCAAGTGATCGAGTAGCCGTGGATCTATATAATCTCCTTATGCATGTTGTAAACGAAGCCTAAAAAACTCTGTGAAGTTTTGATGCTCGAATCGGATCCATATTTTGTTTGTGCCTTTGTTTTAAATTTTGGAGGAAATCAATATCAAGATAGAGGTAAAAGCTTATAGGGAGAAGTCCTGGCCTACTCATATCCTTATCTTGCGTGGCTGAACAAGAAAATCTACACCATTTACTTATTACGCCATCATCAGAAAAATTCTCTTCCTTTCCAGTGGTAGTATAAGAAAGGAGGAAGGTGAACTATTGTTTTTTTTTTTTTTAAATTGGTGAACTGCTATTGAGTCTTCAAATCTCAATATAGGTATATTGAGTCCTCAAATCTCAATGTTGGTGTATATATTATATTATCCACCATAAAAGAACCATTTTAAAGCTCAAATTTTTTATATCTTTAGCATTATGTTAGGTTCTACAAGGTTCTTTGTCTGGTTTGTGTTTTTCGTAAGTTTGTAGCAGAAACTAGGAAGTATGTTTGAAAATTATGCATGTTCCCAACTCTTAAGTCTTTTTATGGATAGAGACCAATAGAGGGAAGACATGTATATACATATATTGATAAATATAGACTATGTCAAAACTTACTTTATGTGTTGATTTATCACCTAAAGATGAATTCATCTGATGAATTATTTAGTGTATCAAATGATTAGTAATTGAATGACTTCACGGGATAGCTCAAGTTCTTGAATCAACATTAGCAAGTAGGACTCTGAGGCTAATGTTTAATGGAAATCAAGACCACTTCTCAAGGACTTTCCCATGTGACTCATATCTTCAGACCTTTGTGGTTGAATTCATAACCACATTTTATCTAATGTTTGTGGTGTCTGGTGTTGCCAGCCATTAGTTCCTCAACTTCAAAGCTTCAAACTTTCTCGGTTTATCTTGCATATCCGATGTCAATAATTGATTTGCCTTTCTTTATCTTACAGATGAATGAACTTGCTGGACTTGCCATGGGCGCCACGGTGCTTCTCAACGTGATGTTTGCAGAGTATTAAAATTTATTAGCTTGAAAGGATTTTGATGTTAAATTTTTTATTGTTAGTTGTTAATGATCAATAGGTTTAGTTTTTGTAAAGTTTGTATATCAGTATAAATTTCTTGAATCTAATATTGGAGTTGTCGAGAAATATTTTGGTTTCTTCTCATTGTTTGTTCCTATTATGAAATGTGAGAAATTGTTTGTGTTTGATATCTCTTTAAGATTCTTTGTATTGTATTAAGAACTTGTGATTGTATAAAATTTTACTTTTCATTCTTTACCTAGTTCGAATTACTATACATTCATAATAGTTTTGTTTTGTTTTCGTAGGGACTTTTGGGAATTATTATTGTTCTGCAAGGCTTCACGTGTTAGAAGATTAGATAGAGTTGAAAATGTAGTCTTTGCTAATAGATGCAACTTTTGTTTTGATGTAATATTTTATTATTACATTCTCGACTTCTGTAATGTACCGTTTAAACTCACTGAATTTATAAGAATATTATTTTATTTAATATAAAATCATATTATTTGATATTTTGATAATGTGAATTGAAATATCATAAATTAGGTCGTTATATAGAGACGCGATTCAAACTAGCATTGGAGGAAAAAAGGGAAAAAAAAAAGAATCTTGACGTTTTTTAAAAGAAAGTTGGGAAAAATATCACTTTGCCGACTTTTTGTACATAGTCGGGAAAAGTCAACTTTTCTCGACTTTTCAGAAAAGGTCGGGAAAACTAATATTTCCCGACGTTCTGTGTCACTCCAGACGCGCTTCTCCCGACTTTTTTGCCGACGCAAAAATTTCGTCGGGAATACTTTTTCCCGACGTTTTGGAGCGTCGGGAAAAAACTTATTTCTTGAAGTGAATCCTTCGGCGAGCTTAGTAGCATGTTAGGACCCTTGGTAGTAAGTAGTTCTTACTTGTGGGAATGTTTGTTCTTTGATGTATAAATTGTTTGTATGCTTGTGTGCCTATGAGTGTTGGTTGCATGATTGTTCGTGGTTTATATTACTTTATAGATGTTGCACTTGATATATTAATGATGAGTTTCAACATGTTGGATTACATCTTGTTGGTTATCTGAAATTTGACGATGATATGTTCTGACTAAAGGAGTTTATGGAAATCGTGATTGTTTATGTATTTTAGTTGATTGTGCTTCTTAAAGATTAACAATTATGTTATTGCTTACTTGGTTGTGTTTGAAAAATATGTTTAGTGGTCGTTTTATTGTTTAGTCTTGGTTGTTGAAGTTAATTCTCTTGCTTAAGTGGAATTTTTAGGCAGTTTTAGTAACGGTCCCTGTTTGGAAATGTTGATAATTTAGGGTGTTACATAATGCCTTAGGAATGAGGTTTAAGCATTCTTCTTATTCTCCCAACTTGTGTAGGTGTAGGCGCATTCTTCTTCTCCCAACTTGTGCATCACTCTCAATTGAAGGTGATGTACATGTACATCTCAAACTCTTGTATTTTCACCTCAATAATTTCTTCTTTGTTTTCCTTTGGCGCTCAAGCTCATGTACTCACTCAATTTCTTAATGACAGGTTCATGTAATCACTCTTATCTCAACTTATCAGGTTCATTTATCGTGTATTGATTTTATGTTCTTGGTTGTTTACAGTTGGTTTATTTTTTACAAGTGTATTTTTTGTCTATTTAATATTATCTATTAGGAAATTTATAACCCAAAATTTTGATTATTTTGTATAATTTTGATATTTTATTCTATTTTGTTAACATGATCATGTGGATTAAATTATCAAGGTCAACTTTGGATAGAGCTGAGTCACTCTAATGACATGTTTGATTTCAAAGTTAAAGACAACTGGGAAAAAATAGTTTTCTTTTTCCTTTTATACTATAAGTATGTAGTGAGCTTGTTATGTAGTCTATTTTTATTTTATAATGTTGGATATATTTTCTACCAATATTGTATTAAATTATGTTAATATCATTTTGAATTTATCTTCTCCGTTTATTTCTTATTATTTTTACTCTTATAAAGCTTGCTTCAAAAATTGAAGAAACACCACATGATTGCCTTGAATTTTTAACCTACTAAGTTGTTGGACTATTACCATCAAAAGCGTAAGATTCTACTTATTGCTTTGATTTTAATGTGTCTGTTGCCAGATGTTATCTTAAATTATAGGACATAGATATTGTGGAATATATGCGGGCAGTTACTATAGTGATGTAGTAGTCACTCTTTCTTTATTTATGATAGGGACTTTACAAGCTTCACAATCTATCATGCTATTCAAAATATGGAACTTCTAATGTTAAACATAATCAAATTTATATTGAAATCTTTTATGTAACTCATACTTATGTTATTTTTCGAATCTTCTACATATAGTATCCTCATCAAGAGGGGTCTAGAAAGTGCGAGTACTATGTGCAAAAGGATATACGAGAAATAGGCCTACTTATGGATTCGTTCATTTTGTTTATTTGATGTAATTTAAGTCAAGTTACTTTTTGTAGTAGTATTAGTATAATCAAATACTTATATTATCTTCTAGATCCTTTGCTTTTTAAGTTGTGTTTCTTAGTTTCTATCATTTAGTTAGTAATATGGAAACTTAGCTATTAGCTCTAATTTGAAGATTAATACTTTACTTTCGTATGACTTATACTCTTCATGAGCTTATAATACATTAGTTGTAATGGAATATGTGAACAAAGATGTGCAAATTTTAAGAGCAGTTTGGATAGTATAAATTTTATCTACTATCTTGTTAGCTTGTATTTTAAATGGTTTTTGTGCATGATAGTCTATTGTGTGTGCTAGGCGGAAGGGAACTTAATGGTTGTCAGGTTCTAATCGCGCTTGTTCTGTTGGGGTCTTTGTTTGGTCGTTATGTTGGTTGTTTTATCAGATTATTGAGTAATTTGATAAGGAAGACTATGAATGTTGATTATTTGTAGTGTTGTAGTAAAATAAAAATGACAGCAGAGAATGATGGATAAATTCTCATATCTCTCAAAACTGTTCAAAAGGGAAGAAAGTTACAAATAAATAGTGACAACCCAAAAGAAACCCTACACGTGGCGTAGAATTATTAGGTTCAAATAATACAAGAAAATAACTTATAAAAGCTGGAATTGATAATGTAAAACAGAGATGTAAAAGTCCATTAATTGAAATGTTTAAGATTAATGTACGTTTTCAATCATTGTGATACTTGTTTAATCCTGATATTTTATGATATATTACTAAAGGATGTAGAAGAAATGTACGTAGGTTGGTTTTTGTCAATCAATTTTGTTCTGTTGGGATCTATATTTGAAAAATTACTATTGTGATAGGCTCCTAGTGTGTTTATTTAAGAATGTTAATTGAATTTTTTCTTGTACAATGTGGAATATATAGTTATCTTCACGATCCTTTGCACTTTTTAATAGATAGATTCGGTTCTTTTAGAAGTGACTTTCTTCCCTTATCTATCTTTGATTATTCATTTATCTAACTTGGGTATTGTTTTTTTCATTAGGTCTTTCACGAACCCAAAGAAGTCGACAATTAGGGATGCAATTAATTGATGGATGAGCTTCCTTGTTGTGGTTGGTTTGTGAGACTTGTTTAATTCTGTAATTTGTGTCTGTAGGAATTTGAACATGTTTAATATAATGTACTAGTAAGTTCGAGAATACTTTGTTCCTACTATATTTCGACTTTGTTATCTAAATTAATCTATTTTAGATTTCGATCGACAATTTAATTATATGATATTTAAGTATTACACGACGTCTGCAACCAAAATCAAATACATTTTTTGTAATTTTTTTTATCGTCACAAAATAAAATAATTCGTGACGTTTTTAAATCGTCACAAAAAGGTTTTGTGACGACTTTTAAACGTCATGAACTCTTTTTTTGGCGACGTTTAGAAAACGTCACGAGAGGATGTCATTTGACTTTCTCTCGCTACTCAAGGTCTTTCTGTGACGTTGTATAACCGTCACAAAATCAAATGCCGTCACAGTTACTCATTTACGGTGACCTTTTTTAAACGTCACGAAAAGTCTTAATCGTGACACGAAATCATTTTTCATGACGTTTAAAAAACGTCGCGGAAGCCTATATTTTGCATGCGATCTTTAATCACGTGTGCTAATTTTCGTGACGTTTTTTAAACGTCACAAAAACCTTTCGTGACGTTACACCCATCATGAAAGGTTTTTGTGACGTTTAAAACACGTCACGAAAAACCGAATTTCTACTAGTGAATATTGGTAATCTTTTTGGAATCCGATGGCGAAGTAGGTCTAGAAACACCTCTTCTCATTGGAAAAAAGGCTTTGTTCTCTATGGGTGGGAGGTGGACGCTCATCTAGTCTAATCAGCAAATAATAATTCACCTTTCACAACTCCAGACTTCATAATTTTCCATCCCAAACAAATATTTTAGGCTAAATAATTTTACACCTCAAACACCCTTTATATATTTTGATATAGTAGTGGTATTGATTGCGTATAGGATTATTAAATTGAAAATAAATAATGTATTTTGGTGAAATAATAGCGAGTGATGTTGTAATTGTATTTAAACAGTGTCATAGTATAATTTTAAATATTACCTTTTTTTATATCCATTTTGTACAAAGAAAAAATAAATTGCATCACACAATAATCATACAAACATCCAAGTTTCGACATAAATCTCAATCATCATAATCATTTAATGGAAAAAAATTATTAAATAATTTATAAATATAAAAGGGAAAAAAATCCTAAGAAAGTAATCAAATACATTTTTTTTCTTTAGATTCAACTATCAGGGAACATTCTAACATCCAAACTTTTAGTTGAGAATATATGTCTTAATTAATCGAGCTATGCACATTGAAAATTAAAAATTATTTAAAAAATTAAAAGCTAGTTAACAAGTTGGTCCTGCATACTTAAAATAATTATAATTAAAAAATTAAAAAAGAATATCAATGAGTGATATCGACAACTACACATAGTATCAGTTGATGCTGATTTTTGGATGAGGTCCATGTAGGTGTCACGTAGGTGCTACATACGTCTTCGTCTTGAAACCTGACTTATCCGCACATAGAGTTATAGTACTAATGTGGTTTTCTATCAAATATACTCTAATGCTTAAGTTAGAAATCAAGTAGGGAGCTAACAGGTATGAAGTAGAAAAACAATAATCTCGAGAGTGAGTTTGCTTGAGAGTGTGTAACGGGTATCACAAAAAGTTGTGTAGGGAAATGCAACTTATCTTCGTTAGGGCTGTTTTCTTTATATATAAGGAGAGAGGGAGAGTATGAGACTTTGCTCCCTCAAGCGTCCACAAGGAGAGGTATGTCATGCTTGAGAACCATGGGCCATCGACATCTCTGTTTCTGCTGTTCTACACACAGGGGCGCAGTGAGTATGGTCCCTTGGGGTGCATCATGGTTTGAACACAAGACATTGCCTATAAGTTGTCATAGAGTTTGTAGAAGCGCTTGGCCTTATCACTGGATTCTTTGGTCGACCTATTCCACGAGCTTGGATGAGTCTCAAACGTGTGTCGCCTGATTTAGCACATGTTTGTATGAGCCTCAACCTCGAGGTCGGAAGTAGGTTGATTTTGGCAACGACTTCCTTTCCTTTCTTATTTGAAAACAGGTTGTTTGACATATCTGGTGAATTTTTGGGCAATTTGAATTTGTGACCCCTTCAATAACTGAAACTGGATAAATGACCCCATTTTCAAAAAACCTAATTTGTGACCCCATATTCTATTAATTATGACCCCTATCAAAATATGACACAATAAAATTACTATTGTACCCCTATTTTAAAAAAATTCATCCCCTCCCTCCCCATCCTTTGTCTCGGACGTTTCGTGGCACTCCCATCCCAAGTAAAACCCTAAACCCCCATCTCGGAGAATCCCCGTCTCGGAGAATTCATTTCGCACTCATCCATTTTTTCTGAAGATCATTCTTTCGCACCCATCTATAAGCGTCAGATTCATCTCGGAGGCTGCAAGGTTAGTTTCTATCTTTTACAATATAACGAAAGTTGCTATTCTTTGTTGTATTAGCATTACCGACCCTATCTGAAGCGGCCTTATAGATTTAGTTTTAGTTTGACGTTGTGATTGTAGGAGAATAAAAAATCCAGAGATTGCTTCAATCTCGGATTCTATCTCGTATTCAATCCCAGACCATTGGTCCGGGATTGAATACTGATTGCATCCAAGATTGAAGCCTTCGAGGGTCCAGGACTGCCTTTCATCTCGGACTTGTCCCGGTCCGATTTGGTTCGAGATGAAGGTCGATCTCGGACACGTCCCGGTCC